CCTTGGACCCTCCGGCGCCAGCAGCAGCGCCAACAGTTTGAGAGGGCCCCTCCCTAGAAGGAGCGCCCGCCGGGGCCTTCTTCTTTCCTTTCGCGTTTTTTAAAGCGAAGAGGGAACCAACGTCCATATTGCTACCTGCAAGCAACAAAAAAAAAACAGAAGGGTTAAATCGAAGGCTACCAGTCACTACGTCATAAAAAAAAAAGACGGAATGCGAAAGAACTATCAACGCATCAGTAAGCATTTCGGTGATCACCTCCGGCGCCTTCGAAGACCCTATCGAGGGGAGGGTATCTCTCATCCGAGGAGCCCCTCGGCCTGAACTGCCGGAAGCCTAGGTTAAGCAGATCCTCCGGAAGGGTGACTTCTCTGATCTTGACATGCTTGTCAGACCCCTCCGGCTTCTTGGCAAGCACTTTGCCGTTCTTCTCCAAAGCTGCGCTCCCCACCTTCGGGTGGCGCCGGAAGTTGTTACGGAGCTGGGCCGGGAAGGGATTCTCCTCGAGGCGGATATAACAGAACCTCTCTTTCCACCCCTTGTGAGACGAGGGCACATCATCGAAGAGCCGGAACTCCGGTATCTGCTGAAGGTTGGCAAAGCCCTCAGCATTTGAATGTCCCCCCCGGCAAAGGTTGAAGGACATGAAGAATTGGTCGAGTGTGGGCTCGACCCCCCGGCTCTGACACAAGGAAAGGAAGCCGACCACATAGGAGTGGCTGTTGGGCGTTAGCTGGCAAGGGGCCAACCCCACAAATCTCAGGTACTCCAAGAGGAAAGGATGGAGCGGGAACCGGAGCCCCATTTCCACCGAGAGGGTGTGAGCAGCAAAGCACCCCTCGGGCGCGTATCGCAGCAAGTCATCCGCCCTGGGCTCCACCACGCGCGCTGAAGGCCCAACCAGCATCTGGGTGGACTGGTATTCTGCCAGGGACGCCTTCGTCTTCAGCTCTAGGGCAGCAGTGTTCAAGAACGAGTGGCCCTCGGGTATGCCCACCGGCCGCCCGGCATCCACTGCCGCTTGCTTCTTCCTCGGGGCCGCCTTCGTCTTGTTTTTCTTCCCGGGAGCCACACTTATGGGCGTCGGGTCCAGTGGCCGGGAGGAGCTGGCTTCCCCGGCACCCCGGGGGGGAGGAATGGCAACCGTCACCTTCAGCCTCTCCCTCTCCTCTTCCTGCTCGGCGGTTTGCACGGCAAGGGCAAGCTCCTCATCCTCGTTCTCTTGCTCGAAGCCCTCGGCTTCGACTTCGGCCTGGAGGTCCTTCTCCACTTCCATAGCCACTGCGGCATCACCAGCTGCCGAAGACTCCACACTCGAAGACTCCACGTCTGAGCATGTCATCATCTCTACCGAAGGCTCCCCCGAAATATCCTGGGAATCACTCTGGGACGACATGCTGACTCTGGTTCGAAGGCTCGCGGACACTATTGTTTTCTAAATTTTCTATCTCCTAAACTAAGGGAACAGTACAGCTATGCTAGAAGGAGAAAGGCAGGGAGCACTGACCTCGAAAGCTGAGTTTTGACCGAAGGATGAACTTTCTCTCTCTAGGAAAATTGACAGAGCTTCGCTAACAAGTTTATCGCACACGGAGCACCGCCTGGCCTTGGGGTATTTATAGGCGATGAATCCGGGCTTGGGCCTGGATTCCGGGCCTCCGGATGGACGCCATCATTACTCACCGCGTCTTCGCCCAACCGGTGACGCCGCCCACGGACAGCCAGCCATCACACGCCACGTGTGCCCCCCCCCCCCCCAACGGCTATATCCCGTCGTTACATATTCCAACGGCTATATTTCAAACGGCTATATTTTGGAAGCCCCCGGGTTTTCTACTTCACTCCACTTCATCAAGGATAGCCTCCGGGTGCACTCACCCAGAAGTGTCCCCGGGTTGTGCCCCACACAGTACATTACACACGCCTTCGGGATCACCCCTTCAGATCCCTAGAGCTGCATATCAGGGCACCCCTCGGGGTTTCCCCCTCAGCACTGCAAAACTGGGGTAGCCCCCGGGGAGTTTCCTCATTGACGGATGGCCCCTGGCACACAGGTAACGGGGAGCCCTCGGGTATCTTCATCACCACTTCATCAACAAACAGTGGACTCCCCGGTAACAGCTTCACTGCTGCCCTCATCTGCAGGCCCTCGATCCCTGGATTGAGGGGCTCCCCTTCGGCGCCACCAGGACATCAACATCCAGCCTTCGGCTAATCAACACAGGAGCCCTCAAAAGAGAGAGCCTTCGGGATTCCCGTCATTCTCCATTTTTTACCAAGGTTTGATATTTTCGATTCATCATTGGGGGAATTCGGTGCACTCTTTTTCCCTCATTAGGATTTTTTCCCAAAGGGTTTTTCCTAATGAGGTTTTTAACGAGGCATCCCCCCAAAATGAAACGAAAAACGTCAGCCTTCGGCAAACAACAGCAACATAACTACTTTACTCCTTTTCACCACTTTACAAGTGCCTCAAGGAGTGGGGGACTGGAGGACCCCTTCGGGAAAATCATTAAATTACAAAATCTGCGAAATTCCAACAAACAACAAAGCAAGCCCTCAAGTCCCGACATGTGGGTAACTGAGGGACTGCCTTCGGCAGGGACATAAAAGCAACAACTCCTCACCAACTTCGGAGATCACAACAGGACAACATCAAAAGGCAAGCACAAATTACTCCTTTTCCCTCAAGTACCTTTCGGCAAAAGGAGTGAGGGACTCCTGATGGAGTATATGGCCCGGGAACCCCCGGCCCACAGACTCCTACTACTCCATCGAAGGCCCAACAGGCCTAACAGGCCCAAATCACAGCGCCCAGAGTACCAAGCAGCCCGCACTACGTGCCAGGGGTGCCTCCGGCCCCCTGGCCGAAGGGTCTAAAACTCTCACAGAACGGGTTTCTCAAGCAAACTAAGAAACTGGGAGAAAATGGCGAAAACAGTAGCCCTCGGTACTGTGAGCCCTCGGCGCCAAGATGCCCTCGGTTGGGGGAGCCTTCGGCTACTGCTCTATGACCGAAGGCATCTCACTCGACAAGATATCCGCCTCACATGCGTACAGATCACCGTACTCTGCACAGACGTCCCATCCAACAGCCGCATTAAATGCGGCCACATGCGGCTGCCAGCGCCAACCAGTTGAGGCGACCCCTCGGCCAATAAGCGCTTGACACGTGTCCCTGCCCGGCATTTATTGCTACTATAAATAGCCCCCCTTTTTCCCCATTTGTAACCAAGTCGGAACACGCTGAAAACACTCCACATTTATAATACTCTCTCTCTCTACGTTTACCTGCTTTAACTTCTCTCTAAGTTATTCCCCGTAATAACCCTTCGGATATATACCCCCGGGCAGACTATCCATCATATACACTCTTTACTTTGCTTAACCACAAATCCTTAACCACGAATCCGTGACAAAAATCCGTGACAAACGGGCTATTTTTTTGTAGTGTTCTATATGGTACTTCGCTAGATTATAAAACTCTTTGTGTATTCGGTTCCCTTTGCTTTGCAAAAGGGTTGGCATTTATTTAACATTGACATTCAAGAATATTTTATTTCATGAGATGTCAAATTGTACGAAACCATACACTTTGCCAAACATTCTAATTTGGAACCTACCGCACATACCCCACATCATTCTCCAAAAAATCTTTTTGATTGTCCATATTTTCTAAATGAAGAGGACCTGGTTGCACAAGAAACAGTTGTAACGCTAGAAGTACTAGAACCCACGTGTGATATAACACATGACCCTATGCGTACTAATTCCCACACCTCCTTCCGGACATGACAATTCTACACTTTTTTTTACTAGCCTTTACATGGCCGGGAACCTTGACAAAAATTTCCTTCCACCGTGCTCCGAGATTTCGCCTGAAATACGGCTCTTTGTTCAAGCCCACCTGCCATATATGCCTATTTTACAGACTTTCTCGGGTACGTCTTTTTCTATAGCACATTATGTAAATTATGACAATTTGTTTTTACTATCATCAAGTCTTAGCATCGAACCAAAGTGTTGAGGTAGGGTTGGGTCAGTCTTTTAACTCCCATCGCCCCCTATCCCAAGTGCCCTACCCCTATGAGGGTTGGTATCGTCAAGAAGAGGCGTGTTGTGCCTTGAGGCGAGACAGAGAAAAAGGTCAACGACTCTTTGAGGTTGTGGGTGGATAAGAGTTTTACCTAAATGTGACATTAATATTTATATCTAAAAAGAATTAGTATAATTAGAAAAACAATCAATATGTAGTTTTAATATTTATCAAGTCACATCTAAGGTACGTCGTGACACAAAAGATCGTAAAATAATTGAATGTTTTTTCCGAAATTCGAATGCATCTATTTAATTCATGGACACTAGCTAGTTATCACAATAATTTATTTCCATATTTAAATCCATGTACATGGACTCTTGAAATAATGAAATGAACCCATTCGTATATAAGAACTTGAGGAAGCAAAATATAAAAAGAAAAGTAAAATATGGAGTCGTCTCCTTATTCCTTCTTCTTCATTGGAAAAGCTCGTTTTCTCTCTTACTTTTTTGCATTGTTAGTCTTATTAGTGTTCCTATCCTTCTATGTACTTGTTTTGTCGCCTTCACTCATGTTATTCACCTATTCTTGGCTACCGACTCAACCGGTGAGTTCCCGATGCTAATTTCAATATACACATATTTTCTTTGTCTCATGAAATTGGAGCAAATTTTCTTATTTAATCTTTCCAAGAAGATGGTATTATTTCTTAACTAAAAAAGTTGTGATTAATGTTATTTCTGTGTTTTGTGTTCCTCTACATACATCTCGATCTTGCAATTCTAACTTTCTTATTGAATGTAAAAATCTATTATAAATAACTTCTGGGTCAGAGAGGGGTATTATATAGGGAAATTACCCTAAATGGGACAAAAAACGTTTGTATATTCTAAAATAGGATTATCATGATTTTATTCTCAAAATAGGACTAATTAGATGATTTAATTGGATTTTGTTACAATAGACAAAAGCCGACATGTTACCATTTGCTGTCGGAAGGGGCGAGGAAGGGTGTGACATATTTAGCGGGCGGTGGGTCCGGGACGAGGAATCTCGACCGTTGTACAATGAATCAGACTGTCCGTATCTACTTCCTCAACAAACGTGCTTAGCACATGGCCGGCCCGAAAAAGATTATCTCTATTGGAAATGGCAACCACATGGTTGTTCTATACCAGGGTGATTTATAGAACTTCAGACTATTTATTTTTATTGTGGATTTCTTTTACTAAATATCTAATTAGTTCTTCAATTAATAAAATTTACAGTTTCAATGCTTCCTTGATGCTTGAATCTCTTAGAGGAAAAAGGATGATGTTTGCAGGCGATTCACTGAGTAGGGGACATTTCTCTTCCATGGTTTGCCTTCTTCAAAAGATCATTCCGCAGGATGCAAAATCCTTTGAAGAAATTGGGCAAAGAACTATTTTTACAGCAAAGGTAAATTTCACTCCCGATTTGCGATGAAAGAATCATATGATTCATACCTAAATAGTTGATAATCCATATGTGATTACTTATAAAGTGTTTCATAGTAAAAGTTGTATGTGTTTAAAAGTATAAGTGAATTTGAAATGTAATTAAGAAGTTATTTAGTCTATATTTAGCAAACAAATACTTTTTGTTGCATTAATTACTAGTATTATATAACTGTAGTAGAAAAAGTTCAAAACAACTTTAAGATTCTAACTCGAGAATATTTTCACTTGAACTTAAATTTCTAGTCTAATCTATTTAGGTCTATTTTGATTTGAACTGCCCTGTTTGGGAACTGTGATATTGTATGTATTTTATTATTATTTGAGTATGATCCGATGTGTTTAGTTTAGCTCATGGTAACTTTAAATTTGGTTTGATGTGATGTGAGACCGAAATTAATCAATGTGAAATGTCAAACCATGCTTAAAGTGCTTCTAATTTGTATTGAACTTAGGGAGTGTTTGTAGAAAATTAAAAGTGTTTTCAACTTTTGGTTTTAAAAAGGCTGAAATTGGTATTTTCAAATGACAGCGTCTGCTTAAACTAAGCACTTAAAAGCCAAAAGCTTGAAACAAGTTGAGAAGTGCTTTAAATTGCTTTTCACTTTTTCTACTACACAATAAACACTTAAGTTATCAAACACTACCAACTTTTACTTTTTTAGAAGCACTTTTTTCTCAAACACTACCAACTTTTACTATTAAACAATTTACCCAAGATCACTTAAAAAAATCATTTTTTATGCCAAAATAAAATTTTATTAATGAAAGAGCAAAATAAAATACAGGGAAGAAAAATAAAAAGAGGAAGACAAAAATAAAGTGAGTACACCAAACTCAGCCCAATGTTCCCGCATTCACACACCCCTCCCTAAGAAAACTCGAGCACACATTGAAGCATTTAAAAATCTGCTCGTGTTTGAGATCTAGTCCTCATATGATGTGAGCGCTGATTCTTCCTCTTGTACATTTTGAGCTACGTGTTCAAATTATCTGTAGGTAAGCAATTTTCTCTCGTGACCAATAGAGATTTTTCACATATTTCCTAGTTTGCATCGGAGTCCCGTAGATCCTTCGCAGTGGAAATAGGAACTCTCCCCTCGTTCTCAGAAACATGACCCACAAATTCGTCCGTTTAAAAAAATCATTTTTTTAAAGTAAAAGTGATCGCAAACACTCTCTTAATGTGATACACTAATTTTCAAGCAACACCTTTTTAACTTGAAAACTTAAAAAGTAAAATGGAGAAAAACATGTGTTTAGTTATTGAAAACAATTGTTAAGTATATTGTGCAAAAGTGAAAATCGACATAGACAAAAATTGATTAAAAAAATATATATGGGAAACCCATGTTATCAAAATTGTACGTGATGGTGTACGGAACAAGTTATTGGCTCAAGAGTCAACTCGGACTCAAAGGGTCAATTCAGTCAACAACCAATAAGTTCGATCAATATTTTCTAAAAAAATAAAATGCAAAATATGTATAATAATATACTCCGTTCATCCCAAAAAAATTCGTCAATTTGATTTTTCTTGGTCAATGACAATGAACTTTGACTAATGATATTTTTTAATACGAAGTTATTTAGAATATGAAAATTATATCAAAATGTTCCTTATTCAAAATATTTTCATAAAATTATAAAATTTATAAATTATATACAAATATAATAAAAAAAATCATTGTCCAAAGTTAGCCATCATTGACCAAGAAAAGTCAATATGACAAACATTTTCGGGACGAAGGTAGTATCATATTAAAAACTGTAGAAGGAAAAATATATTCACATCTCTAATTTATTAGTCATAGTGCATAATTTTTTAAAAAACTGTATAATTATATCTTTACTTATATTTGGAATGATGTATACTAATAAGAATAATGTAGTAATTAACAATAAAAGTTTTAAACTCAACATGGTATAGTATCATATAAAGGAATCATAACATTTAAACAACAAATAAAACCAACATCCCTAAGTGACAACTTGGAACAATGTGTGGGAGTACTTGTGTGAAATAGGGAGTTGAATTTTCTCAAATTGGTCTAGGAAAACTTGACGTTGTTCGGCAGCTCCTATATCATACATCCGGGTGTACCTATACACCCAACATTTTTGTAATTTTGTTCAACTTTGATTCTTTTGATTCCTTGCTTATTTTGTTGTTTATCCATTGCTTTTGGACTTCTGGCAAAATGACCGGCCCACCTAAGCAATGCAAGCGGCCAGTAAACTTCAAACGGCAAATCAATTTTGGTGGTGATGTTTGCTTCTTCGATTCTTCCAACTTATTTTATATTTTGACTTCCTTCAACTTTTTTATTTTCATGTCAATTTTCTACAAGATTTCTTTCATGCAATTAAATAAAACATGTACTTCTCTCACTCTTCTATTAAAAGCTCTAACTTTGTAAATAAATATGAGTATATTATTTAAATTAAATATGCATTGATATAATTTAAAAAATAAGCACAATAAAATTGGGTTTTCTGAAATAAGGAACGATATCAATGCATATTGATGTAATGTTCATTTCATAAATTATATATTCTCATTTAATATTTGAGCATACTAGAAATTTTAAATGAGTTTTTCGAATGTTTTATGTTCATTTGTTAACTATGTAGTCTCATTTTATATTGTTGTAGTGCTCATTTTAAAATGTCACACCCATGTTGCAGAGATTCTAGATGACAACGTTAATGCTCCGTATAGACTAGATTCTGGTGATATTGATCTGGTAGATCAATCCAACCATTATGACTTCGCTCTCACATACTAAATGAGAATAACGCTTAAACAAAATGAACATATACAGATGAGCATTTCAACACACTAGTGATTTCCAAATTACGTTTTTTTTTAATTTTTTGATACTCACTTTGTAAGTTATGTATGTTCATTTGGTATTGATATTATGCTAATTTTAAAATGTCATATAAAAAATTCATGTTTCAAAAGTATCAAGATGCTCAATATTAGACTTTTAATACTGAACGGAATAAGTGTAATGCTCAGTAAAAGTTCATTATTGCTCATTTGACAGAAACCACAATTTTCATCTCAATAGAAGTTACGAAGTAGAGATCACGATTCTGAATACTAGACTCCCAATACTCAACATAATAGGTCTGATGCTCATTAGAAGTTGATTAATGCTCATTCACCCAATCCCTGATTTTCATGTCAATAGCGGAGGTTTGTTGCTCAATGACAATGTCGTGATGTTCAACTAATTAACAAACCTTACGATTTTCATATCAATACGCATTTTTGTTAAATGAGCATTAATGAACTTTTACTGAGCATCAGACCAATCTTGTTGAGTATTAGCAGTCTGATATCGAGTATCGTGATCTCTGCTTCATATCTTATATAAAATTCACTTTCTTTTTCTTATTTTTTATTTTCTAAAAAATTATTAAACTATATCTATCGTCAACTCCTATGAAACTTCAATATGTGAATAAAATGTAATATGGTACTTTTGAAATATGCATTAATATGACATTTTAAAAATGAGCATGAATGAGTATAAATTGAGCACATATAAATTACAAAATGAGCATTGATATGAAAATCATAAGTTTTTAATTGAGCATCAAATCTCTTCTATTGAATATTAGAAATATGCAATCGAGTATCATGGTCTGTGCTCGATCGATCTAGTATTTATAATGAACTTCAACGTAAATCTTATGTAATATGATACTTTTGTGGTATGCATGGATATATCATTTTTAAATGAGCACAAAACAAGTATCACATGAGCATACATAAATACCAAATGAGCAATAATATGAAAATCACACTTTGTTAGTTGAACATCAAGAACCAAGCATTCTAGCCCAGCTGGTTGTGAGCTTACCATGCTTAGTGGGAGGTCTCGAGTTCGAAACCTGCTAGGCACACAAGGGTTTGAAACTCAATGAAGTGAGTTTCAGCCCTGATTACTCCACCCCCCCCCCCCCCCCCCCGGACCCCCTGGAGTAAAAAAATGTTGAGCATCAAAACATTTCCATTGAACATCAAACATCTTCTATTGAGTACCAGAAGCATTCAATTTAGTATCATGATCTATGCCCCCATGTGAATCTAAAATGATACTTTTAGAATATGCATTAATATAACATTTTAAAATGAATATAAAACTTGTACCAGATGAACGTACATGACTTACAAAATGAGCATAAAAAATTCAAAAGATCGTTTGAATTCTCTAATGTGTTTAAAATGTTCATTTGTGCACGTGTATCATAATGACAAATATAACAATTTATACTATCTCCGTCCTGGAATTATCTCCTTATTTGACTAGGCACAAGTTTTAAGATAGTGAAAATGTGTGGTGGAGAGTTGTGCAGATGAAAGAAAAATGTGTAAGAATGTGTAAGTGGTTGTGAACCACAAATTCTTTGCCAAAATAGGAAAGAAGGGATAAATTTGAGACGGACCAAAAAGGAATAACAATTTTATATTAAAAACAATTTCATATTTATTTTACACCATACTCATTTTAGTATAATACAAAACTCATCTTAGTAATTAGCACATAATATTTAATAAACTAATAAATATTCATCTTAGATTAAAAATAGAAAAATAAAAAATTAATACTTTAAATATTCATCAGAAATTGAAAATTTGAAATCAATGAATAAGGTGGTAAAGAAAAAAGGAAAAAGAAATAAAAACAAATCTATGTACAAAGCAAAAGAAAAGAGACGTAGTGCAATTACACGGTCCACTAAGTGGTGCCCTCGTCGGCCAAAGGACCCCCGTCGGCCGAAGAGGGACCAACTCAGAATATAATCCTGAAGCCAGGGAACTTGGGTGCCTCTGTCGGCCGTGCCCTCGTCGGCCAGACCCTCGTCGGCCACGGAAGCCTCACGGAACTAGATTTTACACTTAATCATTTCTACACATTGTATTCAGCCCAATAGCGGTCCAGTTGTAAAGGGGTCTCCCAGGCCCAAGGCTTGGGAGCCCAGCCCGTATTTTCCCTATAAATACTTCCTCCGGAGGTAGTTGTAAGGGTTGGAAAATCATTTATTGAAGCATTTACTTGCACTTCTCTCTCTAGAAAATACTCTATCACCCCTCCCTCCCACCTTCAATTCTCTCCTCCAAGTATATGTCTAATATTGTCGTTGTAGCTTTTTGGCACAAATCATGCATGTACTTTTATTTAAATAATATAAAGGAATACAATGCAACGGTAGAATTCTACTGGACACCATTGCTTCTGGAATCAAACGCAGACAATCCGTTGAAGCATAGAGTGGACGATCGAATTGTTCGGAAAGGTTCCATTGATAAACACGCACAACATTGGAAGGGTGTTCACATTTTAGTGCTTCATACTTATCTTTGGTGGTTTAAAGATGAATACTTCAAGATACTATTGTAAGTCGTCTATTTATTATTTTTTGCTAGCTCCAAACATAATTAAAACACACTTTTAATTTTCTTGAAACATCTTATAGTTTTAAATCCGATCAGGAAAATATCTAGATAAATTATTTTACTATTTCTGATCCGTTAATATAATAATAAGTCAATATACTAACAAAGTACCATATAATTAGACTTGCTTACTTTTAAAACAATCAATCTGTCTATTTTACGAGTTTATGACACACTATAGGAAGTCACTTTTTGAAAGAAAAAATTTAGGAAAAATTGATAAATTTGAAAGACGAAAGAATTTTAAAACAAAAAAAAATGAAATTCTATATTAATTTTTGAATTTTGAATTATTTGCTCATTTTACATTTTAAAAAAGAATTAAATTCAACTTTATATTTATATTTATGATGATTGATTTTTCATTTTCATATTATTTAATAATTTATTACTTTACATTGAACTATAAATATTTTTATATTTCCATTACTTTTAAATTGACATGACGTTTTATAAAACTTACATGATATTAATTTTCATATTTTCACCATAAAGTGTGATGCGCTATTGCTGGTCCAAAATCAGTAAAAATAGCCATTGTGTTTTAAAATAAGTGTACTTATGTAATATTTTTAGTATGTATGATCTCAAGAGATATATTTAAATTATAGTGGATTCTATTTGAACCTTTTGCCTCTTAAATTTTAACAAACTAATTTAACTTTTAATGTAAATCTTTGAACTTTAAAATCAGCTACATACCCTTTACTAAAGTCTATTGCTCTATTAGGTTTGAGATTTATCTTTGAATTAGATAACTTGTCTAACCAAACAAAATGTATTTGTAGTTTATTACTTGTTTTTTTCTCACTGCATGTCACAATTTTGCTTGAGGAATTTTAATGGGCAAACAATCAAACAATCTCTAGCTAGCTAGCTAATTTGTTAGAGTGTTTCAAATCGTGTTGATTTCTATTTTCCTTTGTGATAAAAAACATCAAAATTTTCTATTCCATGAACATCTAACTTAATTATATGTGTTACTCAGTATCCAATAATTAAATTAAATAAATCCAGAAAAGGATCATTTGAAGATGAGATGAAAGAGACTACATATGTGCTTTCTGAAGATGCTTATCGAATGGGTTTGGGGAGCATGTTGAAATGGGTCAACGAGAACATCGATCCAAAACAAACAAGAGTCTTTTTCACTGGCATGTCACCTACACATGGAATGTAAGTGCATGAAATAATTCTTTATATAAGTAGATTATTGTGTTATTAGAACATCTCCAATGCTACAATGTGCACGGTGCACATGTGACATGAGAGATATAGACACAAAAAATTAAATTTATGTCATTTCTCTCTCCCTCTTTCCACGGTTTTGTGTATTTTTGGTAAGTTTTTCTCAACAATGTCAACCACAAAGTCTACATCTAGACATTGTGTTTGACATTGTAGAGAAAAACTTACCAAAAACATATAAGACCGTTCAAATAAGAAATGAGATATTCTATTCGTTATTTTTTAATTGGCTATCTCTCGTGCCACGTATGCATCATTCACGTTTTTGTTATGCAATGTCCATGCATATATAGGAGTGTTGAATGGGGAGGTGATCGAAATGGCAATTGTTTCAACCAAACAAGTATGATACAAGACCTAAATTACAAAGGACCAAAATCATGGGAAAAGACGTTACGAGTAATTGACGAGGTTCTTAGTGAGTCCAAAGGGGTGGTAATAACCTATCTCAACATTACAAAGCTCTCAAATTATAGGAAAGATGGTCACACATCTATTTATAAGAAGCAATGGGGGGCTTTGACTCCAGAGCAACTAGCCGACCCGGTAACCTATGCTGATTGTATTCATTGGTGTTTGCCTGGAGTTCAAGACACATGGAATGAGTTATTGTTTGCTAAACTTTTTTATCCTTGAAACTCAACTTGTATTATATTTATATATAATTTATTTATGGCCTGCTAGTGTATATTATTAACAACTTTACCTGTCTTTTTCATTTAAATATTTTGGTTTCTAGACATGTTTGTAATGAATGTGAGCTGGTGTAATGTAATCTGTAATGCTAATCACTTCTCAAAAAGTAGAAGAAAAAACAAATGCTCTTTTAATAGAAGTAAAATAATGTGACATTCTAAAACATTAGTATTACGAAGTATTTTTCTCTAAAATGAGTGATTATTGTCATATTTGAAATTTACTGTCAATTATGACATCGATAATATTATATTAATGTATGATAATATAAAAAATAACAATATAATTTCACAATGACTCTAATTATTTAGGAGAATAACATAGTACTCGATATTCTGAAAAATCCATATCCATATTACTTATACTCAGTATTTTGAGAAATTTCCAATGTGACAATGATACAATTAAAAAAAACTTCTAAGAAAAGTACTCCTAGTAAATAGCTAGTAATTCAAACCACATATTTTAGTAAATCGCAGGATCGCTCATTAAGACAGACAGACCTTTAAGAAAGATAGCTCCTGTATCCTGATAGCTATTCGGACGGGTCTGACTAGCTCGCTCCCAGACAATGGCGGACTGAGTCATGAGGTCACTATCCTAATGTAGCTCTAACTAATATATAATTAATAAAAGTTAAAGTAAAATATTAAAGAAGCATAATGTTCAATAGTTAATGTACATCATAAAAACATTAAGATAGTATAACGCACAAAGTTACATATAAAATTCATTCTACAACCGGAAAAAGTAAAATAAAATTAACAAGAGTTTAAATTTTTAATATCAAAATGTGTATTTTTTAATAGAAAAAATCAAAGAAAAATATTATTTATAGTTATTTAAGGGGAAAAATAATTTGAATACCCCAACCTTCTAAGAGGTGTGAGGTAAGCACCCCTTGCATATGAAATAAAAATAGCCCAAAGTGTATAAAAATTTATCTTAGCACCATCATAATATCCCCCCTATAAATGTAAGGTTATAGTGTTAAAATACTTCGGGCATTTATAAGGATGAAATCTAAGCTTCAATATTTAATGTCAATAACAATAAAAAATAAGTATAATGTTAATTGCACACTAGAAATGCTTAGAATATAGCACACTAGAAATACTTAGAATATTTAATTGCACACTCAAATTTCTTTAATTAGAGTATTGTGTTCTATCTTCATTGAGCAATTTCGATTTAAGAACATTTTGTTTACAAGTAGTTTTAATTTTGAAACTATGATTGTTTGATTTGTTTCTCATTTGGGATTATTGACAAATTAACTATATTTACATTTCGAGATGTAACATTGTCATTTCATTTTCATTTTCATTTACCCCAGTGCCGCAAAGGCTCCCACCTACGGTGGGGTAAGGGGGGTCAGATGTACGCAGTCTTACCCCTGTACTAAAGCACAGAGAGACTGTTTCCGGAAGACCCATAGTGAAAATCGTGTCCAAAATTGCATGGACTGACTGCTGCTCCATAACAAAGAAGCGCAGACAGTTTAGTGAGCCATTTTGCTTTATTCCATCATAATCTCAAGCCAAAAAAATGAATCTTTGGCTCCATTGCAAATGATGGAAAAAATTTCGAGATGTAACATTGTATATGAGATAAATAGTACGATTTGTTTAACTATTTTCATGATGTGGAATGGTTGAATGACATGAATTCACAAAGGAAAATACATATGATGTATATATTTTTCAATAAAGTTTATGTTCTTTAATAGTTATAAATACACCCATATTTGTTACTCTTAATATTTATAAAATACCCCTATATCCGTATGTTATATTTTATATTTTATCGTATTTTCGTACCCGTTTCCGCATTTTGAAACTCTTTCAATCTCAGATTTTTAGTTCTAAATATTCAAAAACTTATGGAGTATGAGCATATTGATCAATCACACATTTATTGATTCTTTTCTACATATAAAAACAATGACACATGCACCCACAAAATCATGATTCATACCCATTATCCGTTTCCGGCTCACATCTCCAACCTCCACGTAGGCTCACAAACACCACTCTAGGCTAGACCACAACACTTCCCATGTTTTTCTCTCCACAAAGGAACCTCTCTCTAACTCTCACACAAAGGAAAGGAGAAGAAGAGCGATGTTCACACACTTCTCACGCAGGCTGCTCTCTCAAGAAGAAGCCAAGGCTTCTATATAATAGGCTACTGGCCAGAAGGATAGTCACGGCCTCACGGGCTACCAAGACAAAAATAGAAAACTGCAGCGGTCAAGAATAGAAGGGGCCAGCTGCCATGTAGGTAAGTCAACACCAAGAGGAGACTCAATTAATAGGTAAGGGGAGGAGGGAATACACATAGAGTGCAAGTCAATAATAAAGTGGAAGGGACGCCTTGGTAGGATCAATACCTCAAACATTCTTCATCTTATTGATCCTAGGTGGTGTAGAGTAACAATACAAGGTTGTGAAGAGACTCATCGTCGTCGGGTCACCCGGAATATCAAAAGATAAAATGGGCGAACATATTAGTAGGCAACCATGGTTATCCACAGTCAAAGTTTAACACGCGTTTACAGAACAAGTGTTTATCAGCAGAAAGACACTTGGTACCCATATCTGCGAGATTAAACTCGGACGATATCTTGCACATCTTGACTCCACCTGCATCCACAATATCACGTATGAAATGGAACCTAACATCAATATGTTTAGTTCTATCATGAAATAAAGGATTTTTAGAAAGTTGGATAGGTTATTGGCTATCCGAGGAAATAGTAACTCCCTGCTTGAGAAACCCAACCTCGGAGACAAGGCGTTTGAGCCAAATGGCTTCCTTAAACATTTCTGTGGCTGTAACGTATTCAGATTCAGATGTAGAAAGACCAACAATAGGCCGCATATGAGACTTCCAACTTATGCAAGAGCTACACAAAGTAAAATCATAAGAAGTAGTTGACTTCATGTTCTCTATCGTTTGCATAATTAGAATCAACATAACCAACAAGCTGAATACCACTATCACACTTAGAGAAAATTAATACATGCTTCACAGTAGATATCAAATATCTAAGTAACCACTTAAGAGCATTCCAATGGAGCAAACCAGGGTTGGACATATATCTACTCAAGCAACTAACCGCATATACAATGTCAGGCCTAGTGCTAACCATAAGATACATAATCGACCCTATTGCACTTGAATAAGGCACAAATTTCATTTTCTCATTCAGGAGCAGTCTTGGGAGACTGATCCTTACTTAACACAAAGTGAGAAGCCATAGCTAGGGACATTCACATGAGAAGCAGATAACATATTGAATTTACTCAAAACCTTTTCCACATAAGAAACTTGGTTTAAAACAAGAGCAGATTTGCTTCTATCCCTAACAATATTTATACCTAGGATCCTCTTTGCATCCCCTAAGTCTTTCATGGAAAAACTTTCACTTAGGCATTTTTGCACATGAACAATGGACTTAAGACAATGACTGATGATTAACATATCATCCACATAGAGCAATAAGAATATAGGCACAGAAGAAATATTCTTATAGTGCAAACAATGATCACATGCAGACTTAACAAATTTCATAAATTTCATGCATTGATCAAACTTAATGTTCCATTGCCTAGGAGAGACTGCTTCAGACCATACAAGGCCTTCCTTAGCAAGCACACGTAATAACTTTTCTTGTGATCCATAACCCATTCAGGTTGGGTCATATAAATATTTTTATCAAGATCACCATGCAAGAAAGCAGTGGTCGTATCCATCTGCTTCATTTCCCAATCAAAGTGAGCAATAAGAGCAAGCATAATTCTAACAGTATTAAACTTGACCACAGGAGCAAATATCTCTGCATAATCTACCCCCTCTTTTTGAGTAAACCCTTTAGCAACCAACCTAGTCTTAAACCTAACATCGTTAGGTTCTTCCTTAACTTAAACCACCACTTACACTCAACTACCGAACAGTTGGGGGGTCTAGGGACAAGGGTCCAAGTTTGGTTCACTCTCAAAGAGTTCATCTCACTCTTCGTGACACTAATCCATTTGTGAGACTCTTTGGAACCTAAGACTTCACGGTAGATCTTGGGTTCATTCGACTCTAGGGATTCGAACAAAGAAAATGCAAACATAGAAATATCATGCACAATGAAAGCATTATCAGGCATACTATCAGCAGTTCTCCGAATGATCCTCTTACTTCTATCTCTAGCAAGTTGATAATTATGCAAATCATCATTACTAGACTCCTCATGCAACTCATGCAAATTACTATTATCATGAAAATAAGATTCCACACTCACATCATGCAATTCATGCTCAACATCATGTAAATGCTCCACCTCACTAGGGTGGTGGGACTATCATGCTCAGAGGAATCATTATCATGCAAAACAGTTTCATCATTAATAACAAGATTAACAGATAAAAGACTAGTAGCAGCAGGGACAGACTCCACCTCACTAGGAGTACTGTTAGACTTAGACTCAGGATTAGAAACAGACTTGGTTAAGCAAGTGAAATCAGTTTCGTTAAACACCACATTTCTGCTAATGACCACCTTAAAGCCTACCTGGTTCCTATCTCATAACCTGTAACCCTTTACCCCCTTTGGATATCCTAGAAAGACACATTTCTTGGACCTAGGATCCAACTTTTCAACCTGTTGATGTGCATATGCTGCACAACCAAACACCCGAAGGTTAGACAAGTCAAGAGGCTTACAGGTAAAGACGGTTTGAGGACACTTACCACCTAGAGGGACAGAAAGGGACCTATTAACCAAATAGGCAGCAGTGGTAACTGCTTCACCCCAAAATTTCTTAGGCAAACCAAAGGTAGCTAACATAATTCTAACCTTATCCAACAGAGTTTTGTTCATTCTTTCAGCTATCCCATTCAGTTGGGGAGTATAATGCACATTTTTGTGCCTTTTTATCCCACAATCCACACACAGCTTATTCATCTCCTTATTACAAAACTCTAAGCCATTATCAGTCCTAAGGGTTTTAACCTTCCTGCCAGTTTGATTTTCAACTAGGGTTTTCCATTCCCTAAACCTCACAAACACATCATACTTGTGTTCAAAAAGGCAAACCCACACCTTCCTAGAAAAATCATCAATAATGGAAAGAAAATATTTCCTACCCCTTGGATAGGAACACTGGCAGATCCCCAAACATCGGCATGAACATATTCAAGCACAGACGAACACTTAGACAGATTAGGGTAAGAGGATGTAGGAAAGCTAACTGTATGCTGCTTGTCCATGATTCACAGAAAGGCATAAAAGTCATAGAGTCTTTACCAAAATAACCAGACTTATGCATGATATCTAAACCCTTATTGTTCATATGTCCTAGTCTAGTATGTCACAAAGAGGTCTAATCAACACATACAACATTCACAGAATCAGCACATATAAAGGTTATTCACCTTTATATATAAAGGTTATTCACCTTCTCAGCTATAAACAAAACAAGAGAATTTTTCAAGATTTTCATACAATCATTCCTCCACTTTCCCTCTAAACCACTACTCTCCAAAGCAGCAATAGATAACAAGTTATGACACAAATCAAGGACATGCCTCACCTTCTTAATGACAAACACAGAGCCACAAGAAAATTTCAGACATATATATATCACCAACACCAAGCACATGTGATAACATAGCCTTATCAAATTTCAGACATCTCTTATTATCAGCCAAGGAAACATAGCCACTATCACATAATTCATTTGTAGATAACAAATCTCTAAAAGGGGACATGTGATAGGTACAACCAGAGTCAATCAATCATTCATGCTCAGACAGGGAATTTCTCACAGAATTAACATGGTCATAAACCATCAAAACCTCACCAAGGTCCCATTTATCAACAACTACACTAGCATGCTCAGTCTTCTTAGGGTTGGAGCAATCCTTAATGAAATGGCCAACGTTACCACAATTGTAACACACACTCTTCCTAGATTTGTTCCTCTTCCTCCCACACTGACTAGTGTTCTTACTTTGGCTACTTTGCTTAAAAATTTTAGATCTACTCTTAGATTTACATCTAACAAACATAGCCTCACCGGAGTCCCTGGACTAACTATGACTACCCTTAGCATGCTTTAGGTATAATTCCTTACTCCTTAACCCATTAACGACAACATCTAGCGATATCTCATCCCTACCATATTTAATAGCGGACTTGACATGATTATAAATGTTGGGAATGACATTAGGTAGCACTATGGGAGTATAATCATCTATGTGTTTATCATCTGCATGTTTGATATTCTGTATTAATTTATTAAACACATGCAGGTTCTCATCAATATCCTTAGTCAAGTAAAGCCTAAACCTAAAGAATTTCTCAAGTAAAAACAACTTCCAGGGCAAAGAGGTATCAATATAGAGCTTATCCAATTTCTCCCACAAATCCTTAGCGAACACAAGAATTCCCACTTTCCTAAGCACAAAATCAGGTAAATTTAGGTAAATAGTAGAACAAGCAGTTTCGTTCATTTCAATTTGTGCTGCCTTATCTTCTGATTCAAGGAAAATATCAGTGACAGCTCTATAAACTTTTTGTTGTATTAAAACTCAGTTGATTTTTTGTTTTCATATGTCAAAATCCGTTTTTCCGATGAAAGGGAGCATACCATACTGATTGGCAGCCATGGTAATGACCCGAAACACAAAGCACACACAAAAAAATAAGGAATTTGCACACAAAATTCAACCCGAGCAGAATACTACCGGGATTTTAAATCATGCAGAAAAAAACCAGACAGATTACACCACTTAGATAGACCAGGCAGCATGCATGAAACAACAAAAACGGGCAATTTTGGCACCTAAAACAACTCCGGGAAGCAATAATTTAACCCTAAGGTTCGAATTAATCACTACAACAATTTCGGACAGATTATAACCTCAACAACTTACCCTGGGCAGCATACAAAAAACACAATTCTAACCCAAATAATTCCTAAAAGAGACGTTAGAGGCCCAGACCAAGCCAGTTCATTTTTTGGAGACCCGGAGCCCGCCCAAAGAGAATACGGTTCGGGTCTTGTGGACCGGGCCCGGTTAGTGGGCTAGGCCGGTTCAAAACAGCACCGGTTTAGGACAATTTCGGGCCGGTTGACCCGGCCCAAGTCCATCCCTATCTAACCTCTTACCCTGTAGGTGTTTAAGCCTTCACAACTTTGGGGTAATGTGGTTGTCTTTTTACAACAAGTTTTGTTCAATTACATTACATTACAATAAGTTTTGATCAATTACATTACAAAGGTTATAGAGTAAAGATAAAGACATTACGAACACCGACCACGATCATATAACAAGGAGAAAGTTAGTTTTGCTTTAAAAATGAATACATGCATCCATGTGAGGAACCATAATCGAAAAGAAACTCCAGGGCCCCTCGCCCCCTGCCTTGTGTCATGGTGATCAGAGATGGGCAAAATCAGTTCAAGTGTCCCATAAAACTGATTACAGAGCAAAATTTAAGCAGTTCATACTTGAAATTTGCACACCTCATAGGTGAAGTGCCTCTTCAAGGTGAAGTAGACATCAATCCAACTCGCACACCCATGAATGCTCGCCATGCCACCAACATTCTTATGATTTGAGTGGATTGAACGTCCCAAAATCGTTTAAGACATTCATGCACAACTAAAGCCGTAAACTGAAATTTACATAAATTAAGAAATTCATACATATCTCAGGAACTAGCATCATAATCATCATCAAATCTAAGTTCGTGGAATCTATTCAACAAATTTGACTTGTACTTCCCAACTTCAGCGTCCTCTTCCAGGGAAGAACCACCAGATGGGATGGACTTGATTACTGATATTGCCCCCGCCAGTCGCAAGCTTGCTGCAGCTTCATCTGCAAGAAGAGGGCCCCAGATGGATGAATTAATTAATGTTAAGTGATGAATGCAGGTACATCAAAGGACCTATCTGCTGGCACATCACAATAATCTATCAGGCACTAGGTGAAAATGTATAATCTATACTTTGTACGGAACTCGTAAAATCATTATACTTCCCAGGGTGGTATACTGGGCCAGGCCAGGGTGGTATACTAGGCCGGACCGGGTCGATACAAAGATTTTTTTTAATTTTTTTTACAAGAATTCTTTTACCCTAATAATTGAAATAAAATTGAAATTCGGGGTAGGCCGGGGCCTAGCATGCACCCCTGGCTACGCCCTTGCGGCCTTGCCTATGACATTCAGGCTCTAGACCATAATCTACCACATAGGGCCCATATAGAGATTCATGGAGAACTGATAAAACAGTAAAGTCAAATAACCTTTTCTTTGCTTCTGAAAAATCACAAAATTATCTTGTATTTTAAATTTTTAAGTAAAAAAAGGCAATGAGATTACCTCCATTTTCTTATCTATTGTATGACTATAATTATTGATAATATTTGGACTATTCCGAGTTGACTCTAAATATTTAATAGAACAAGTGCATCAGATTTCGTGAACAAAACCATTTAAGATGACATTGTATTCCGCTAAGAATAAATTACCCTTATGACTTTAGGAATAGTAAATTCAGTGATCTTATTAACACAAGTCCAGAAGTAACCCCTCATTCAATGAACCAACCCCTCATTCAGTGAACCAACCCCTCCCCTTGAATGATATAATTACCATCCAATTTCATCTTGACTTTTTCTAATGTACAGATAACGAGGCTAAATATACATTTCATGTTCTCTATTTGAATAATGAAGGATTAGATCGATTTATAAACTCTTTTCAGAAATTTTTGGACTCCAATGCCAAGGTTACTATGGGAAAAAATTTGTCAAGTCTTCATGTTGATGTACAACCTGAACTGGAGATTAATCCTACTATCCTAGGGATTTGGATGTACTTGAGAAAATGGGCTGAAATGCATGTATGCCTAATCTATGGAGAGTGGGCGCTCTATTCAGCAATAGAGCTCATTTTTGGTGAAATTTTTGGTGCATGTTCAAAATTTCAGCTCAAAAATCAGCTCAAAATTCGATCGGGAAGGCAGTCATATCAAAATGGCGGTGTTCGGACAGCGTTCGGACCGGGAGGTGCTGGACAGAAGAATGACTCTATATATATATTGCATGGTAGGATCTTACGATCCGAGTTACGATCTCCTAGACCTCGTCCGATCCGTGCTAGGATCTCGATTTTAACAACCTTGCCTGTACTAAAGCACAGAGAGACTGTTTCCGAATGACCCGTAGTGAAAATCGCGTCGAAAATTGCATAGGCTGACCGTTACTTTATAACAAAGAAGCGCAGACACTTTAGTGAGCCATTTGTGAAGATTAGGGTGAAAACGTTACGTGTTCGGTGAAATCAAAAGTAACGTGTTTGGTGAAAAAGTTGGCTGATAAGCCCAATAAGCCGAAAAATAGGGCTACCAAATGGGCTCTAAAGTGAAGATTTCCTTTTTGTAGAAAAATGTAGCATATACATGTTATTATTATTATTTGTACATCCGGGACTGTATAGATAAGAATTAGAGTTGATATAGGTTTCTAATTCTTAGATTAGCTCGCAGGATAGATAGAATAGATAGATCCTACTTTTTAGGATCTGTAGCAACTTAACTCTATCTGTAACTTGTATATATATCATTGCCGGATGGCTCAATAATATACAAGGAAGATTAATTCTTCAAACTTACATGGTATCAGAGCCTTGTTGTTTAAAACACCATAATGGTGGATACTGAACACTCTGATTCCTCCACCCACTCACAAACCCATCACCCTAACTCCCAAATTAGCCAAATGACAAATTACCGGGCCTCGGTTAATTCATCTATGCTCATTACTGGATATAGATTGAATGGAACCAATTACCTAGAGTGGTCACAGTCTGTCAAACTGGCAATAGATGGAAGAGGAAAGTTGGGATACATAACGGGTGAAGTAGAGGAGAAGAAGAATGGTGAAGATGGCTACAATGTCTGGAGGTCAGAAAACTCTTTGGTAACAGCCTGGCTTCTCAGTTCAATGGATGCATCAATCGTCAAACCTCACATGTTCATGAAAACTGCAAAAGAGGTATGGGATTCAATTAAAGAAACCTACTCAGATCTTGAGAATTCTTCTCAGATCTATGAATTAAAAACAAGGTTGTGGCAGTCCAAACAAGGAAGTAGAGATGTCATCTCATACTATAATGAGAAAGTGCCAAGAGTTGGACCAATGCTATGATGCTGAATACTGGGAAAGTGCCAAGGATCTGGCAAGACACAAGAAGAGAGGAAAATGACAGGGTCTATATGTTCCTAGCAGGAATGAATAGAGACCTAGATGAAGTAAAAGGCAGAATACTGGGAAGAAACCCCTGGCCTCAATCAGAGAGGTCTTTTCTGAGATCAGGTTGGAAGATAGCAGGAGGAGGGTCATGTACAACACTCCAGTACCTAATGAGGAACCTGGGGAATCTTCAGCTTTGGTGGCCAGAAGTGATGACAGCAAGAAAAAACTTTGGTGTGATCACTGCAAGAAATTGTGGCACACAAGGGATACATGCTGGAAACTTCATGGAAAACCACCAGGAGCTGGAAAGAAGAAAGTAGAGAGGGCCCTACAAACTACTGTGACTGAGACTCAACAAGAGTCAGGAGTTGAATCTAAACAGCTACCATTCACTCAGGAACAGATAGAGTACCTACTCAAATTCATACCCACCCAGAAAATCTCCAACCAAGAAAACCCTACCTGTTCTTTTGCCCAAAATGGTAAAATAACATCATTTTTTTGTTCTGAAAAACCAAAAAACACCTGGGTCATTGACTCAGGTGCAACAGACCACATGACCTACATTCCAAAGTTTTTTTCTTCTTATCAACCTTGTGCAGGAGATAAGAAAGTTAGAGTTGCAGATGGCTCTTTTTCAGCCATAGCAGGGATGGGAAATATTAAAATTTCCTCATCCATTAACCTTTCCAAAGTCTTACATGTTCCAAAACTTTCCTGCAATCTTATCTCTATTAGCAAAATAACTAAAGACCTTCAGTGTTGTGTAAAGTTTTATCCCTCTTATTGCATTTTTCAGGATCTGGCATCAGGGAGGATGATTGGCAGTGCTAGAGAGGAGGATGGCCTCTATACTTTTGATGAAGGAACACAATTGAATAAACAAGGTCAAGAAAAAACTTGTTTGCAAACTATTTTCTTTCCTTGTAATAATGAAGTGTATTTAATGCACTATAGATTAGGTCACCCAAGTTTTTCTTATCTGAAAATGTTGTTTCCTAAGTTATTTCATAATAAAAATCCTTCATCATTTCATTGTGATATGTGTGCACTTGCCAAACATCATAGGAGTTCTTATATCCCTCATAGTTACAAGCCAACTAGTCCTTTTACTATTATACACAGTGATATTTGGGGTGCATCTAGAGTTCCAACTCTGAAAGGAAAAAGGTGGTTTGTAACTATCATAGATGATCACACACGGGTCACATGGGTTTTTTTACTTAAAGAAAAATCTGAGGTTGAAGAAGTGTTCAAAAAATTTTACTCAATGATCCAAACTCAATTCAACACTAATATCAAAATTGTGAGAAGTGATAATGGTCTTGAGTACTTTTCTAAGAAGTTAAATAATTTTTTTGCTGAAAAAGGAATTATTCATCAAAGTTCCTGTGTAAATACACCTGCTCAGAATGGAATAGCTGAGAGAAAAAATAGACATTTGCTTGAAGTCACTCGTGCAATTATATTTTCTGCTAAAATTCCAAAATATTTATGGGGAGAAGCTGTTTTACATGCTACCTATTTAATTAATAGGATGCCATCAAAAACTCTAGGATTTAAAACTCCTATTGATACTCTTCAAGCCAGTTTTCCTGAAACTAGGCTCATTAATTCTCTTCCCATAAAAATTTTTGGCTGCACAGTTTTTATTACCAACCCTGACAGAACTGCAAACAAATTTGATCCTAGAGGCAAAAAATGTGTTTTCTTAGGACTATCTTCAACTCAGAAAGGCTATAAATGTTTTGACCCTATAACAAAAAAGATGTTTGTAACAATGAACATTGTTTTTGTTGAAAATCAACTTTTTTTGGTACTCATCTTCAGGGGGAGATTCCTAATGAAGATGGTGATAATGTGTCACATATCCATGAAAAACTTGAATCTCTTGACATTAATCTAGATGCACAATATAATAGACAGTTAGATGCACTAGAAAATAGTCAAGAGTCAAAAGAAAATGAAATAAATTTTTCTGAAACAAGGAAAGATGATGAACAGCAGACAAGTAAGTTTTTTGGCAAGGTTTATGAAAGGAGAGTTCCAAATCAAAGAATAGAGGACATCCCTGAAAAACTTGAATCTCTTGACATTAATCTAGATGCACAATATAATAGACAGTTAGATGCACTAGAAAATAGTCAAGAGTCAAAAGAAAATGAAATAAATTTTTCTGAAACAAGGAAAGATGATGAACAGCAGACAAGTAAGTTTTTTGGCAAGGTTTATGAAAGGAGAGTTCCAAATCAAAGAATAGAGGACATCCCTGATCCTAGGAGTGGACTCGGGCCGGTTCGGGTCCGGTTCGGGCATGGGCCCGGCCGGGCCTTGGTTCAAGAAAGGGAGGCCCGGAACCGGCCCGGGTAACCCCCGGGTCCGGGCCGGGCCGGGCCGGGCCTCGGGTTTTTTTTTTTTTTGGGGGGGGGGGGGGGGCTTTTCCTAGTTAACCCCCACCCCTCCTCCTCACCCCCAAACCAACCCTAACCACCTCAAATGGCCCAAAATAACCAGCCCAACCCAAAAAATCAAAAAAAAATCAAAAAAAAAAATTAAAATTGGCCCGGCCCGGGCCCGAACCGGCCGGGCCGGTTCACCTTTTGAAGGGCCCGAGCCCAAACCGAGAATCCACCGGGCCGGGTGGCCCGAACCGCCCAACGAACCGGTTCCCGGGCCGGTCCGGGCCCATACAGTGGCGGGCCGGTCCGGGCCCATACAGTGGCGGGCCGGTCCGGTTCCGGGCTGGTTGGCCCGGCCCGAGTCCACCCCTACCTGATCCTGCCACTGCCCATGAATTTGACTCAATGTCAGAAAATGACAAAGGTAATAATTTTAGTGATCTAAATCTACCCATTGCTCTCAGAAAAGAAAAAAGATCATGTGTAAAATACCCTATCTCAAACTATCTGTCCTATTCTTAGTTATCTACACCATTTGCAGCCTTTACCTCTAGTCTTTCCACTGTTTCTATTCCCTTAACCATACAGGAAGCTCTATCTATACCTGAGTGGAAGAAGGCTGTTTTAGAAGAAATGAATGCTCTTGAAAAGAATCAGACATGGCAGGCTGTAGAAGTACCCAAAAACAAACCAACAGTGGGATGCAAATGGTATTTAACCCTAAATTCAAGGCAGATGGTACACTTGAAAGATATAAGGCCAGATTGGTTGCCAAAGGATACACACAAACCTATGGCATAGATTATACAGAAACTTTTGCTCCAGTTGCAAAATTAAATACTATAAGGATCCTTTTATCTCTAGCTGCTAACCTAGACGGGCCTCTTCAACAGTTAGATGTGAAGAATGCTTTCTTAAATGGGAAGCTTGAAGAGGAAGTATACATGAGCCCCCCTCCTGGGTTTGAGGAACAATATGGCTCAAAGGTGTGCAAGCTGGAGAAAGCCTTATATGGACTTAAACAGTCCCCAAGGGCTTGGTTTGAAAGGTTTACTCAATTCATAAAGAAGCAGGGATTCAAACAAGCCCAAGCAGACCATACACTATTCATGAAATTCTCCATTAAGGGAGAGATTGCAGTACTAATTGTTTATGTGGATGATATCATTCTTACAGGAAACTATTGTAAAGAGATTGAAGACCTGAAGAAGAAGCTTGCTCAGGAATTTGAGATCAAAGACCTGGGAGAATTGAAGTACTTTCTTGGCATGGAGATAGCCAGATCAAAGAAGGGAATTGTGGTATCCCAGAGGAAGTATGTACTAGACCTACTCCATGAAACAGGTATGAGTGCCTGCAGACCAATAGATACTCCAATTGACCCTAATCAAAAGTTAGGAAATGTCAAGGAAGGAGTACCAGTCAATATTCACCAATATCAAAGATTGGTGGGAAGGTTGATTTATCTGGCACATACAAGGCCAGATATTGCCTTTGCAGTCAGTATGGTTAGTCAATTCATGCATAATCCATTCCAGGAACATCTAGATGCTACCTACAGAATCCTAAGATATTTGAAAAGCTGTCCAGGGAAAGGATTATTTTTTAAAAGAAGTGACAATAGAAGTGTAGAAGCCTTTACAGATGCAGATTATGCTGGTTCAATAACTGATAGAAGGTCTACATCTGGGTATTGTACTTATGTATGGGGGAATCTAGTGACTTGGAGGAGTAAGAAGCAGAATGTGATTGCTAGAAGTAGTGCAGAATCTGAATTCAGATCTATGGCTAATGGAATCTGTGAACTACTTTGGATCAAGAGAATGATGTCAGAGCTGAATATGGAAATGGAACTACCTATGAAGTTATATTGTGACAATAAAGCAGCCATTAATATTGCTCACAATCCTGTGCTACATGATCGTACTAAACACATTGAAGTGGACAGGCATTTTATCAAAGAGAAGATTGAAGCTGGAATTGTGTGCACACCATTCATATCTACCAAAGAACAAACAACTGATATCTTTACAAAGGGTCTGTTTAAACCAGTGTTTGAACTTCTTATAAGCAAGTTGGGAATGTATGATATATACTTACCAACTTGAGGGGGAGTGTAGAAAAATGTAGCATATACATGTTATTATTATTATTTGTACATCCGGGACTGTATAGATAAGAATTAGAGTTGATATAGGTTTCTAATTCTTAGATTAGCTCGCAGGATAGATAGAATAGATAGATCCTACTTTTTAGGATCTGTAACAACTTAACTCTATCTGTAACTTGTATATATATCATTGCCGGATGGCTCAATAATATACAAGGAAGATTAATTCTTCAAACTTACACTTTTCATTTGTTTTATATTTTCCATAAGCTTTCAGTCCTCAATAGCGGATCTCTCTCATTAGCGTGTGTACCTTCTTTTCATTTTTTAATTAAAAAATTCTTTTACGGAGAAAAAACACTTCAAATTCTCTTATATAGTAGTAATATTTACTTTGATTTATTTTAGATCCTTTTGATTCTAACTCTTGTCCTCAATTTTACGCCTTAGCATTTAGTCACTCCTTGGATTTATCACCTAACAATATATACACGCATCTAAAATGTTAACTACTATGGGCCCGGATCATCTGTCCCTTCATTACATGGAAGAGAGCCCCCCGGATACGCTACATTTTCATATACCGAGTATTTAAAAAACACTTTTTCCCAGCACTTCAATGACCCTCAAATGGTTGAACACAATTATCAGCCTAAGAATTTGTAAATAATCCTACGGGGGAAAGAAAAAATAAATGTAACAAGGAAAATCAGACCTGATTTTGAGATTGCAAATAGAGCCTTCAAAGCTTCCTTCCTTGTGCGGTCATCTTTAGCAGCCTCCAACATCTTCACCAGTTCTTCAGCTCCACCCATTTCAATAATTCTCACCCTCCTTTCATCTATATTGCCCGAAAAAATACACTAAATAAATGAATTATGAATAAGAGAACCAATGAATGAACAACCCAATATTTCTGATTTCTATTATATAATAACTATCTTGCTCATTAACTTAGCCAGGGATAAACCATAATAATGGTTCTCATTTACATAATACGTGTTTCACACAGACATACAATGATGGAACTACAAAAGGTAAAAGTAACTACTACTCTCTATATCCCAGAAAAGTTCATATTTTAAAAGCTTGTTGTATGATCGAAAGAGCTACTTTCACCGAATAAAATGATTTTTGAGAAATTTGAAAAAAAAAATCTAATATATCATACTACCTCGGTCCCAAAAAAATTGCCATTTCATAAAATTTGGATCATGCTTTTGATTAGTATAATATTATGAAAGTTATAAAGTTTATACTTTTATGAAACTACTTTAACAAATAATATAGTCGGTCAAAGTTTTTTTTTAAATGGCAAAGTTTTTTGGAATGGAGGTAGTACGTAATTACTTTAAACTATCAAATAAGATAATAAGAACCTAAGAATCATTTATAACGTATATCTAAAAAGTTAAGAAACTATTCCTCTACAAAACACTAAACTTTACAGAGGTAAACATATTGAAGAAAACTCACTTCAGCTATAAGAATTGGTAAAAGACAGAGCAAAGTACCATCAATGGCAAAACGGGCCAATCTGGATGCTCCCATTCTTTTAAACAACGGATCCTTCACTTGTAATAGTGTCACGGACTGCTGCATCATATTGTCTCCTGAAAATGTCAAAATGCATATTATCTATATTATCAGTCAATACCCATAAGAAAACTAATATCTAAGAGCCTATTTGGGAAGTGTTTTTTGGCTTCAATGGCTGAATATGTTTGGTAACACCCACTTCAGCCCGATGACAAAGTAAAAAGCTACTAACTTCGCTGGTATGCAAAATAAGCAGGATAAGCGACTCTTTGTTAGGACAGAGCCTAAAACTTCTAGTTTAGATATTTTGTCACACCTAAGTATGGAAAAAACTGATAAGCTACGGCAGTTGCAGTCCCGGCAAAGATTAGCTTCAACAGCCACCCTATTTTCCTTTCAGCCTCTTCTTCTATAGATCTTTCATCTGCAAAAGAGAAATGTGTGATAAAAGGACAGCACAGAAAACATGACAGAAGATTGCAGTGATCAAAATCTAATCTTATCCCAGGGAAAAAAGCATTTCGGTTCGAATCAGAAAGACAGAAATTATCTCAGTTTTCCATACACAGATTTTTCATTAACTCTACTCAATATCAATAGCAAATATACTCCCACCAAAACCCAAATACAATAATAGGCGCTGTTTTGTAAACCATTTTTGTGGTTTATCCATCTGATTAGCCATTTCTTGCCAAACAGTTCCATATTTGGTTGTGTTAGAGGAATCTACTGATAATTAGAAAATGATGTACAAAAATTTCAGCACTTTTTAAATTTGTCTGAAACAATAAGATGGATAAAACTTCTACCATCATTTTATAGATATCATATCAATTCAATTTATTTGTTTAAAAATATGTTTGAGATGCACTTTGAGATGATGCAGCTGCCACAGTATCAAGGATAAACAAATTAATCTCATTGTCCTTTCAAAAAAAATCACCCTGCCCAGTAGGCTAAATATTACTCCCTCCGTCCCACAAAATAGTTCCCGATTTCCTTTTTGGGCCGTCCCAAAAAATAGTTCCAATTTCCCTTTTTGGAAAGTTTTGTAGGGCTCACATTCATTTACCTTTTTCTTACTCAACCACAACCATACATTTTCATTTTATTCTCACTTTCTTAAACACCGATCCAAGTCAATGCGGGAACTATTTTATGGGACGGAGGGAGTACTTCCATCCCAAAATGATGTTCTCAATTTGAACTCCATGGTCCTCAACTTTGAACATTATTATTTGCAATTATATACTTCTAAAATCTATGATAAGTTTTATTCAAATAACATATCTCCAAACATATTGTCTACAGGTGTTTTTATGTCATAAATTAGAATAATATTTGAATAAGTATGAAGTATCAGTTGAAGTTAGCAAACTTTGTCTCCAACATTCAAACTGGGGATGTCAATGGAGGGAGCCCAAATTCCGTACACTGGGTTCTTTAACAATCATTGTCGATTACAATTTTCAATTGCGCAAAATAAATCATGACTAAAATAAGAACAGCAAAAATAGGGCTATTAAGACGGTTGACTGATCTTAATGGTGGACCAGGCTCTCAAAAAATTCAAATAAATACTACGTACAAGAGAGGAAAGCGGCATCACCTTTTCCAAAGCTAGATGTGGAAAATTTCTTGCTGGGTTGCAAACTCGGAAGTTTTCTTCTTAAAATTTGCTGAAGCAATATGATCCAATAAGATGAATTAAAAAAAAAGTTAGGGTTAGAGTAGAGTGGTTGAGACAAAACAAGAAGAAAATGAAAACCAGAGCTTACAGCACTGATCCGGGACGCCAATGTCCGCATGATAAAGAATATAGAGAAATCGTTGGTCTTTGAAATTTTCCTCCCAACTCCTCGGGGATAAACTTAAGATACTCTTGTTTTTTGGTGTGATGGTGAAAAAAAGTTTTAGATCACTGTTTAATTACACTTCAATTAGTGAAGAAAGGTTACAAACTACTCCGTGTTTCTCAGAAACTACTTGCTAGATACAGGATGTTTTTACTGGTCTGGTCTGAACTGGTCTTGTCTGGTCTGGTTTCTTTGTATTTTTATAACTATCCAAGTCTGATCTGGTCTGATCTGATCTGAAATGGTCTGGTTTGATCAGGTCTGGTCTGATCTGGTCTGGTTTGGTTTGGGACGAATTACAGTCCAAATAAAAACATCCATAGTTTCTTGAAAAAGATCTTAAATTTTTAAACAATCTCTTAAATTTTATTATATTATATGTAATGCATAATCATATTGTTACACCAAATGTGTACATGACATTTCATTTAGAAAAATACATAATTGTTTGTGTATACACGTGAGTGTAAAATGTACACAAAATATGTACATTCATTAGTTGTCTTGAGGTAGCTCGTTTTAAAAAAAGATTTATTGTTTGCTTATATAGGAGTCTTTCAAAAGTTAAAAGGTGAGGATGTATACATGTTAAAGTGCATTTTAACAAATGATCAGAAGAGAAATATATTGAAAATGAACATAACTTGTTTTTAATCTCTTCATATATAGAATTAAATAATTACGTGATTGATAACTTAGCCTGAAGACAATACATCTGAGGTATATATAAATTGATCACATAAACAATTACGAAGTATTATATAGAAAAAACACATAAATTGTTTACACATGACTATTTTCAATATATGTATTTACATATATAGAATCAATGTCTATGTATAACTATTTTCTATAATTGTTTGTGCAGTTAAATATACTTTGACATGAGAATCAATGTGTATGCACAAACATTAATTACTCCTTCCGATCCCTATTAAAGTTCCCAGTTTGACTTCACACAGATTAAGAAAATAAATTTGACTTTACTGTGGAGTGCACTGTTTGGCACTGTTTGGCACTGTTTTGCACTGTTTTGTTTCCGACAATGGAAGTGTAAACTTAAATAAGGGACATCCTAAAAAGGAAAGTGATAACTTTAATACGAACCGAAGGGAGTATCTAATATCAAGGCCGCGCAGTTGTCCAGAAAGTCGAATTTGTACCTTCTTTGATAATTCGTTTAAGAAATACAGAAGGTAGAGGTTTCTTTGTGGAGAGAAAAACATGGGAGGGGTGGGCAAAAATACCGGAAAATCGGTATACCGCACTTACCGTACCGAAAAATACCGGAAAATACCAGAATATTGGCATACCATCATTTTCGGTACGATATCATACCGTACCGATATATTTCAGTACGGTAACGATAAATGGTTTCAAATATCGTGATATATCGATATAATACCGTACCGACTTCCACCCAGCGATTACAAGTTTGAAGCCGAAAATTAATACTTATGTTGGTTACAAATACTAAAATACAAAAATAAAGGCCCAATTTCTCAAACCCACTATAACCTTCTAGGCTTTTACTATGTAACATTCAAACCAACAAACCCTAATGACTAATGAGTAATGTATAGTACTAATGTCCAGACCAGTCCATCTTATTTCATAAGTTTGCGAGTCGCGATGGATGAGCCGCTGATCATGAGTAGCTGACGAGTGAAGAAGGATACACTTATGTGACGAGTGTATCGACATAGAGATTCCGCAAGTCGAGGCACAGAACTTTGTCCGAAAGTCTTATTCAAATATTTTATTTGAAATTATAAAAAAGACTAAATACACAATATCATATTATGGATAAGTGATTTTATATTCATTTTGTATGAATAATTTTATTTATTTTTGTTAGTGATCACTATTTATTTTATTATATCTATATTGTTCAAATTATTTAAATATGTTGAAGTGCTTAAATATACAAATAATAATTATTGTTCAATATTGAATATGACATCAATAGATTATTAATTGTATTTTGTAATATTTTAATAATGGATTAAATTTGTCGTGAGTATACCAGTTTATTATATTTTGTTAGTCTATGATAATTTTTGAATTGGGGGACATGCATGGTAATTTACCGACACCATACCGTTACCGAACCGAAACTTCGATATGCTGAAATGTGGTATACTGAAACTTCGGTAAGGTAAAGGTATATAAATTTTGTATACCGAAAGTTTTGGTACGGAAAATGTATGAGAGAAAATATTCGGTATACCGTACCGAACCACCCCTAGGGAGGTGTTGTGGTCTAGCCTAGAGTGGTGTCAGGGCCGATCCTAGGGGGGCAACAGGGGCGACCGCCCTAAGCCCGAAAAAATAGCAAAAATATAGGTCCAAATTTTTTTCTTTATATATAGCGTGAGTAGGACTCGTTTTTTGTATTTTTTTGAATAATATATTTTTTAATAATCTTTTTTGTATTTTAAAACTCATTTAATTAGGCCCAAGGTTTAATTTTGTTCATAATTTGAAAATTATAAAAAAACTTCAAAAAAATTATAAAAGGAATGTAATTTGTCCCTCCCAATCCCCAATATCCCAAATTCCTAAACTACCTATTACGTATTACCGAACACTCCAATCGACCTCATCCCAATTCCCAAACATTAAACTCACAATAACCCACTTCATTGTTTTGTTTGTTTTCAATTTTGAAATCAAGTAACGAAGGTTCAACTGTTCAAGGTTGCTAAGTGATAACTGATAACGAAGGTTCAAGGTTTCAAATTGACGGGCCTTCAATTCTTCAATTCTGCAAATCAATCCAGGAGCGGAGGAGCCCAAACGTCGGCCGACGATTACAAGTCTAGAACACCTTCTTTCAACTTTCAAGGTTTCAAACAATCTACCAGTCACCAGTGGTCAGTAAATTAATCTCAATATATTAGACAATTAGCTATAAATGATGAATCTATTAAAATTTCTTTGATTTATGATTAATGATTTATGATTTATCCTTGCAATTGCAATTTGTATATAAGAAAATGATTTTTTATAAGATGCATTTCTATTGTCTTGTTAAATTGATATCTCATATTTGATGAAAACATCCCATTCACAAAGATCTTATCATTTTGTGGCGAGTTTAGATTCATCAAAAGTTTTTGGAACTGGACCGATGACATTTTGAGTCTGAGTAACAGCGTTATTGAGGAGGAGCTTATTTATGATGTCTTTTATGCCTCGTTGTTCATGTATGACTGGTGTACTTATGTTGTACAAACATTTTGTAAGGCATGGTGGTGTCCCATGGTAAATATTTTACTCACGTCCATTGGTGAGTTGACGATCACACTTTGAGACTTGCATGTTATCGAAGGATTACCTATCATAGGAGACGCATATGATGAATCTATTCCAAGCACTTCCGAGTTGTTAGATGCGAGCACTGACCGTTCACTTCAACTTTGCAAATACTTATTTCACACATATCACCATCTTTTTCTTGAAAACAGGAGATAAACGTGTTGCGTGTTCATGTGTGGGTAAAATTCTAGTTCAAGAAGGCTTCCAAGTATACCATGCCTCCATTGAGAATAGAAAAGCAAAGATTATCTCATGTTAAGGCAACCTATAATCTGAGCTGAGCTATTCCAATATTTAGAGAATGGTCAAATTCTATGAAGGTATTGTTCCATGTACTCAAGATTCATGGCGAGTATGAGGAAGAGGTATAATCAGCGGCATTCTATCATGTTTGCTTTTTGAAAATGTATTTCCACATGAAGGTCCCGGAGTTATCCGCCCAGAGACATTCAAAGTTGCTTATTTGATGGCTCGAGGTAAATGAGTATGCTTTGCAGTCCCAATTCCTGTCAGTATCTACCATGGGCTTAATGAGATCTCAAATGCTCCAACACTTGATAGAGTTAGAACGTGCTTTTTTTCTCACTATGTCTATGGATTGTTGGCATCATAATTCTCTGCTTCTCATGACATAGTGAGCAGGAAAACACGTTCTAACTTGACCATGAGTTGGAGCATTTGAGATCTGATTAAACTCGTGGTAAATACTGGCAAGAATCAAGACTACAAGGCATACCCGTTTACCTTGAGCCATCATACAAGTAAATTTGAATGTTTTTGGACGATAATTTTGAGACCTTCATGTGACAATACAAACGCACAGAGCCAACATGATAGAAATGTCGCTAAGTAAACCTCTTCCTCATATTCAACAGAAATCTTGAGTACATAGAATAGTACCTTCATAGAATTTGACCATCATCCAAATTTTGGAATAGCTCCGCTAGGATTATGAGTTGCCTTAGCACGAGATGATTTTTCTTTGTTGTTCTCAATGGAGGCATGATATACTTGGAGACCTTCTTGAACCAGAATTTCACCCAAGCATTAACATGCAAAACACGTTTATCTCCTGTTTTCGGAAAAAGATAATGATATGCATGAAATAAGTATTTGCATAACTGATGTTAACGGTCAACGCCCGCATCTACTATTTCTAGCTTTGTTAAATTCAATCATGCAAGTTTATGTTTTTTTTTAAACGAAAATGACAAAAAATAATATTTTTAATTACGTTTCTAATAAATGGTCGGGTTGGTCTTTTGAAACTAATTTTGATTTTATTAATGGGGGGGCGTATGTTAGTTTTTTGGAATCCGAATTTATTCACGTGTACTGTGATTGAGATGGGGGCCCAAAATATGCATTTTAAATGTATTTGCCGCACTACACAAACTGTTTTTTACGCCAAATTTGTCTATTCACTTTACACCGTGTTGGAGCGAAAGGCTTTGTGGGAAAAGAGGCATTAGGCAAGGGGATCCAATGTCCCCGTTGCTCTTCGTCGTATGCCTCAAATATTTCTCGCGGAATTTAACCATGAAAACAAAAGTTTCTAACTTTAATTTTCATCCTCTTTGTGGTTTCTTGGGCATTACCCACCTGGCCTATGCGGATGATCTTATGCTCTTTTCAAGAGGGGACAAACATTCCATTAGAATTTTGGTCAATACTCTCAAAGAGTTTGGGGATGTTTCGAGCCTTAGGGTAAATCATAATAAATCCAATATTTTCATTGGTGGGGTTAACAGTTTTGAGTTGCAGAATATCTTGGACCTCGTTGACTATGGTCGTAGAGTATTC